AAACGTTGAAAAAAAAAAATTAAAAAAAAAAAAAAAAGAAAAAAAAAGAAATACTTTTCAGGAATTCTGCAAGTAGGAAATCGAGTAGTGGAAAGAGTCTGGAGCTGGTGGTGCACATCCCCCGTGTCTGTTTCACTGACTTCACTAGGAGCCAGTCACACCTTATAGTGTCCCAGCGGAAAAGGAGAGAAGCCTGTCTGTGGGGCACATGCAGTTGTTCCTGACCTTGCCTTTGAGAAGTCAGATGTTGTTAGCACTGGGAAACCAGCTTTCATTCAGGTGCTTAGTGTGGGAAGGGAGAAGGGATATTCAATCTGTCTGCTTAATAGAAAAAACAAACAAACACAAGCATTTTATGCATTATTGAAAAAAATCGCCAGTCTTATTTTTAATTTAGGAGGGCTACTCTCTTAAAGAGAGAATCCATCAAACTTCAATAAACGTGAAGGGAGTCATGGGTTTAACAGCCAGAGCAACCGTAACAAGTCTTTTTTGTAATGGTTATCTGGAGCTATTAGGATTAACTGCCTTGTTTAAATCAGGATATTTCCCTGATTTTTAATGTTAGCTGTGGCTGCCTTCCTTTTTTCTACCGTAGGAGTAGTTGCTCTCCTGTTCAGATTGGTGGAAAAAGTAAATGTCAGTAACATTAAGTGTGTAACTTTTTTCATTCATTCAGGAAGCAGTTATTGAGCACCTACTATTTTGGCTTTGGTACCAGGAATCTTTATAAATTAATCCATTTTCCGCTTGGCAAGTAGTTGCATTGGCAAGATTTTGGCCTCATGAAGTATTAAAACCAGATCAAAATAAGGAAAGTTAAAAGGTGATATACTTAATGGTTTGCAGCAGTCATTTTGGGAAAGAAATCTGTATTCTTAACTCTTGCGTGTTATTATTGCAATCATTATGCAAATGAAGTGTTCTAAATTGCTGTAAACCCACATGTATGTCAGCTCACTATCTATTAAATCTGACCCAGGAAACAGGAAGAGAAGTATTTGCTGCCAAATGAGAAAGTGGTTCCCATTCATTTAAAACTTAAATCCTTTGGGGCGCCTAGGTGGCTCAGTCGGTTGAGCGTCCGACTTTGGCTCAGGTCATGATCTCACAGCTCGTGAGTTCGAGCCCCGCGTCGGGCTCTGTGCTGACAGCTCAGAGCCTGGAGCCTGCTTCTGCTTCTGTGTCTCCCTCTCTCTCTGCCCCTAACCCCCTCGCATTCTGTCTCTGTCTCTGTCAAAAATAAATACACATTAAAAAAAAAATTTAAAAAAAAAACAACAAAAAAAATTTAAATCCTCGAATCATCTTGATTTTAGAATCTGGCTCCCCAAACAAATGTTACCTAACAGGCCACCCTCTTGTCACTGCAGGTAAGAGTCCCTTTTTCTAATAGGACTGCTTGTTGTATGTGAGACTGTTTAAAGCTGGCTCTGCCTTGGCCCAGGCCAGTCAAAACTCCAATTATTTAATAGAAAGTTAAGTTTCAGGTTACCTTGTGGCGTCTTAGCTGCCATTTCAAAAGCAGAATTGATGCAGGAATT